GTGAGCTGAGGCTCAATCGCCACGAATATAACTGCATGACGTGAGCTGAGACTCAATCGCCACGAATATAACTGCATGACGTGAGCTGAGACTCAATCGCCACGAATATAAGTGCATGACGTGAGCTGAGACTCAATCGCCACGAATATAACTGCATGACGTGAGCTGAGGCTCAGTCCCACGAATATAAGTGCATGACGTGAGCTGAGGCTCAGTCCCACGAATGTAAGTGCTTGAGGTGAGCTGAGGCTCAATCGCCACGAATATAAGTGCATGACGTGAGCTGAGGCTCAGTCCCACGAATGTAAGTGCATAAGATGAGCTGAGGCTCAATCGCCACGAACATAACTGCATGACGTGAGCTGAGGCTCAATCGCCACGAATATAACTGCATGACGTGAGCCGAGACTCAATCGCCACGAATATAACTGCATGACGTGAGCTGAGACTCAATCGCCACGAATATAAGCGCATGACGTGAGCTGAGACTCAATCGCCACGAATATAACTGCATGACGTGAGTTGAGACTCAATCGCCACGAATATAACTGCATGAGGTGAGCTGAGACTCAATCGCCACGAATATAAGCGCATGACGCGAGAAAACAGCTGACGGTGGTAATTCCGGTTTGTGTGTTTGGGAAAAACCTAACAGGAGAGTTACAAAGAGTGACTGGTGTTACTGCTGGTTGCTTCAAGACGGTGGAATGACAGGGGTAACTCTTAGTATCACCAAGTCTAGAATGATGGTTAATTAATGGGCTTAATTTAAGTCTGTCCACAAACTAGGGTCTTTAAGGTTGCTTGTAACTATTCCGCCACCATACAAGAATACTTGAATCTCTAAGATAGAGATTAATGTAAACTCTCAGGATACATATATGCATTTTGATGGGGACTTTTTTTTTAAACTAGGGCCCCTTGCAGTCCACCTGTTCATTATTTTATAATACACAAGGTCCTCGTGGTTGAAGCTTTTGGGGGACCTTAATGAAATCCAAGAAACAAATTAATATAAAATAATAGGGAAGTGTTGAGTTTCCTCCAAAGGGTAGCGATATTTCTCCTCTGCCTTTTCATGTTAGCCTCGTTCACCGTGAGAACTGAAGGACAAGATTACAATAATGACTGTTTTGTCACCATGTTTGTGACTGATGCTCACTCTACCTGTTTGTCTAGTACACAGTCTATTTTGTAAATGAAAGCGAGATAAAATGTTACAAGTCTTGAAGGTCCAAATAGCACTACAATGTAGTATCTACTTTTCACGCCAGCTCCTGGGCTAAGGGACTGATTACCTCATCTTCAGTCTTTCTTCCTGTATCGTACTGATAAAGCCACAAGGTATATTAAAGTGCCTTCAGCAGTTCCACATCACTCACCTAACTCCTCTCAACACTCCCACTGAGAGCTAACTGAGACCAGACAGGTGAACGTAGCTTCAGAATATCTGCCTCCATCAAGATGCCAAATATTTAAAGCAGATTTTTTTACTTTATATTCACCTCTATATAAATGCTAGTACTCCAGAGTTTGTCTCGTCGATAAATCTATTTGATAGATAATGAGGTGTGGATGAAGACTTAGCTTAAACTTGATTTGCCCTCAGAGATTTAAAACTAAAATGACGTGGCAACACACTAGTGCGCAGTATACGTAGAAAATATTTTTATCAAAGGTATATTTCAGATAAATACAAGTTTGTCAGTGTTATGGAGACTGGATACAAGTTTGTCAGTGTTATGGAGACTGGATACAAGTTTGTCAGTGTTATGGAGACTGGATACAAGTTTGTCAGTGTTATGGAGACTGGATACAAGTTTGTCAGTGTTATGGAGACTGGATACAAGTTTGTCAGTGTTATGGAGACTGGATACAAGTTTCTCAGTGTTATGGAGACTGGATACAAGTTTCTCAGTGTTATGGAGACTGGATACAAGTTTGTCAGTGTTATGGAGACTGGATACAAGTTTGTCAGTGTTATGGAGACTGGATACAAGTTTGTCAGTGTTATGGAGACTGGATACAAATTTGTCAGTGTTATGGAGACTCCATGGATACAAGTTTGTCAGTGTTATGGAGACAGGATGCAAGTTTGTCAGTGTTATGGAGACTGGATACAAGTTTGTCAGTGTTATGGAGACTGGATACAAGTTTGTCAGTGTTATGGAGACTGGATACAAGTTTGTCAGTGTTATGGAGACTGGATACAAGTTTATCAGTGTTATGGAGACTGGATACAAGTTTATCAGTGTTATGGAGACTGGATACAAGTTTGTCAGTGCTTGAGTATTTAACGCTAAACTTAGTATCGCAGTAATACAATGTGAGAGAAAGACAGATGCCGCAGTTAGTTTAATATCTTCATTATGCACACCATACACATCCTGTGGGTGGTAGTCAAAAACTTACAGAGGTACATAATGGGTCCAGGGACTGGGCCCAAAAGTTAAGATAGCTGAACAAGTTACAAAGGTAATGAACTCCAGGTAGATCTGGTCACAATGATGACCAAATTACAAAGGTAATGACGCATCAATGTAATATTGATGTCCTGTTCTTCCATATTACACTGACCTACCTACACTATATCCACAAGCACAATAATACACAGCTTTTCATGCCGTTCTGAAACTAAATTTGGTGTTCACAGAGGCAGTAAACTACAAACTATCTTCCCCGAAGGTATCAATATCTTATGGATACATTACTAAATAATGATCTTTTTTTTTATATGGGGAGTACATGGGAAATACAGGCAGCAGTAGACTTGGAAAATCCACTTATGAGTATTTGCTTCTACCTAAATTTTGGACTATCGTGCAATATCTAGGTTTGTGAAGCCTAGCTGGAGTGTACTAGTGGATGCTTAATTAACGGGTCATCATATGACCCTGGGTAGGAGACACTGTTGTTTCCTGACAAACAAACAGCGGAAACAGTTCAATGTTTTCTATATGATAAACATGATCATTTGACAGTGGCAAGAGGCTTCCAGCACGGAAACCCCCATGATCAAGGTCAAGCAGGGGAGAACCACACCTCTTGCTACCATTACCATCCTTCACTCGTAACAACATCTATGCTCACTTCATTGTCTGTTTAATGTTTGGATCAATATTGTGAAACATGTATATCTCAAGTACTTGATATCAAAGGGTTAATGTAAGAAGAGTTAACAAGAACGAGAGGTTAACCTGGTCATGATAACTGACTAACTAGCACCTTAGACATATACACTGTAATTCTTAAGTCTACCTTAAAATATTTTTTATAAGAATTATAACGCTGATTAAACAATCTTATAACAATTATGATATATATATATATATATATATATATATATATATATATATATATATATATATATATAATATATAAATATATATATATATAATATATATATATATATAAATATATATATATATATATATATATATATATATATATATATAATATATATATATATATATATGCGGTGCCGAATAGGTAAAATTGGTCAATTAGCAAGAACTCGTTTAAAATTAAGTCCTTTCTAAAATTTTCTCTTATACGTTTAAAGATATTTTTTCATTTATGTTAATGTAAAAATTAATAATTTTGTACCAAAAGAACCTTAGAAAATTTACCTAACCTTATTATAGCAAGCTCAATTTAATTTAGCCTAATCCAACTAAATATATTTTAGATATTTTTTTGATAGTCTGTCCTGAAAAATAAGGAAAATAAATAATATAAATACAGAAACCAATATATTTTTATTGATATTCGATGTTATTTTGAAGATTTTGATACTTTATTAAAATTTTCAGATTTTTTTTGGGGGGGTTAAATTTTATTTTGCAGAAGATGTTAGTAGAGGAAGGAGAGAGCGAGGAGCAGCACGTCACCTGCGTTATTTGTGCTTATTATTGCATTATTACCTGGAGGAGAAGTGACCCCTCACCTGGAGGTGCTGCTGGTGGGGGTGCAGGTGCTGGGGAGGGGAAGTAGGGGGCAAAGGGAGGGGTGTAAGGGGGTAGAAACTAGTAATTATTTGTGAGGGGGGGGGGAGGCAACAGGGTTACGAGGTTCACTTGATATGTCGGTGATGGGGTTCTTGATCCGAGGAGTTGGATGTCTCTTTCCTTGGATCGAACCTTATCACCCCTTCCCCGGTGATGCATAACCCTTACGAGTTTAGCGCTGCCCCCATGAATATTCTTGTGGCTAACGTATTTGCATAGTCTGTTAAGGGCTTTTGATCCAGGGCATTTGAGATGCTTACCTCTTCCTTGGATCAAACTGATTACCTCCTGTTACCCAGGAGCCGTATGACTTACGGGTTTAGCGCTTACCTATAAATATAATGTCATTTACATTAAATATATCACTTATTTACATTACATATAATGTTTATTTACATTAAATATAGTTTATTTACATTAAATATAGTTTATTTACATTAAATATAGTTTATTTACATTAAATATAGTTTATTTACATTAAATATAGTTTATTTACATTAAATATAGTTTATTTACATTAAATACAATGTCACTTACATTAATATAATGTCATTTACATTAAATATATCATTTATTTACAATAAATATAATGTCATTTATTTACATGTTATTTATATATGTCTGCGAGATTTTCAGTAACAAAATCGTAGTTTATGCACTAAAAAAAAATCTTGTCCAGGCAAGGTCATCATGTTGAGATGACTTGACAGTTTATGATCCCAGAAGATCCTGCCCAGCATCAACACCCATGAGGGTTTATGTTATATGTGTTGCTGTTATGATGACTTGTCAGCACCTATGCTGTACAGCTGTCTTAAGTGTCAGCACTAACGCTGAGGGGCTGACTGCCTCTTATACAGCTGTTTCCAGTGTCAGCACCAACACTGAGGGACTGACTGTATCTTATACAGCTGTTTCCAGTGTCAGCACCAATGCTGAGGGACTGACTGCCTCTTATACAACTGTTTCCAGTGTCAGCACTAACACTGAGGGACTGACTGCCTCTTATACAGCTGTTTCCAGTGTCAGCACCAATGCTGAGGGACTGACTGCCTCTTATACAACTGTTTCCAGTGTCAGCACCAATGCTGAGGGACTGACTGCCTCTTATACAGCTGTTTCCAGTGTCAGCACCAATGCTGAGGGACTGACTGCCTCTTATACAACTGTTTCCAGTGTCAGCACCAATGCTGAGGGACTGACTGCCTCTTATACAGCTGTTTCCAGTGTCAGCACCAACACTGAGGGACTGACTGTCTCTTATACAGCTGTTTCCAGTGTCAGCACCAATGCTGAGGGATTGACTGCCTCTTATACAACTGTTTCCAGTGTCAGCACCAACACTGAGGGACTGACTGCCTCTTATACAGCTGTTTTCAGTGTCAGCACCAATGCTGAAGGACTGACTGCCTCTTATACAGCTGTTTCCAGTGTCAGCACCAACACTGAGGGACTGACTGCTTCTTATACAGCTGTTTTCAGTGTCAGCACCAACACTGAGGGACTGACTGCCTCTTATAGAGCTGTTTCCAGTGTCAGCACCAATGCTGAGGGACTGACTGCCTCTTATACAGCTGTTTCCAGTGTCAGCACCAATGCTGAGGGACTGACTGCCTCTTATACAGTTGTTTCCAGTGTTAGCACCAACACTGAGGGACTGACTGCCTCTTATAGAGCTGTTTCCAGTGTCAGCACCAATGCTGAGGGACTGACTGCCTCTTATACAGCTGTTTCCAGTGTCAGCACCAATGCTGAGGGACTGACTGCCTCTTATACAGTTGTTTCCAGTGTCAGCACCAATGCTGAGGGACTGACTGCCTCTTATACAGTTGTTTCCAGTGTTAGCACCAACACTGAGGGACTGACTGCCTCTTATAGAGCTGTTTCCAGTGTCAGCACCAATGCTGAGGGACTGACTGCCTCTTATACAGCTGTTTCCAGTGTCAACACCAATGCTGAGGGACTGACTGCCTCTTCTTCTATCTCTACTTATTAACCTTTATATTGAAATGATCAAGACTGGTTAGTGAAACGTCTTAACAAAGCCAGATGTTTCATTTGTTTGATTCATCACCTCTCAGGGGTATTAAAGCCTGTGAGGAGCTCTTGATCCAAGGAGCTGGACTTATCTTTCCCTTCCTTCAGAAGGATAAGTCTCCAATAAGAACACGTCTCCAATCTAGATCTAATGATCATACTGTCACCTAAATATAAATGAGTCTTTTTTGTTATTGCATTTATGGCTTATAAATTTTAATGAAATTAGTTAAGTATCATTTACTGTAAAAGAACCAGAGATAACTTGTTCTTATTCCATATTTCAACGTTTCAGAGCGGTTTTGGACATTTTCTGACTTCTATTTGACTTCTATTTCTGACTTTTTTGGGTTATCCCAGGTTCTCTACGCTTATGCTGCTATGTATGATAATCTATGTAACTGTATTTGTGTACCTGAATAAACTTGCTGACTTATTTGAAAAAGTTAAGAATAAAGAATACAGTGGACCCCCGCCTAACGATATTTCAATCCAGAAGTCTGTTTTGGTGCCTTTATAGACCGAATTTGTTCCCATAAGGAATATTGTGAATTAGATTAGTCCGTTTCAGACCCCCAAAAATACACCTACGAAAACACTTACAAAAATACACTTACATAATTGGTCAAGTTGGGAGCTGATCGTTAGGCGGGGGTCCACTGTACAACGTTACCTGCGTTCAGTACAGCTATTGAAAAGATTCTTCAAAAGTGAATTGAGACTATATATATAGAGGTGTACTCGCCTATTTGTACTCGCCTATTTATAAATGAAGGAGTTGAGTCTCAGCTCTTGGCCCTGCCTCTCAACTTGCCGCTTTCCAGATTCATTCCTAGCCTCGTGGGCCAAGTCGTACCTATTCTTAAAACTGATATTTTAGACCATTTCCACATTAACTTATGTATGGAGCCTGCCTCTACCACTAGGATCATCTAGGTTTTTCCATTTCCCGACTACTCAGACTGAAGAAATACTTTCTGACATCGAAGTGGCATACCTGTATATCTCATTGTACATTTACCCAGAGTTTAATACAAGTAAGGTATCCATACCCCTAGCCTACATTATTTCATATTTTGGTTCAAGTTCTGCAGCCAGTCACAGAGAACTTAATTAAACAGAAATACCCCAGTTCCAAGCAGATTAAGTTTATTTAGGTACAGTTACACATAAGTACAATTATCATACTTAGTAATATGTGTGTAAATTACAAGGGTAACCCAAAAAGTAAGACAAAGTAAGTTTATTTAGAGACACACAATATTTGATTGTTTGCAGTTGCCTTACCAATGATAACCCAAGAAAAGTCAAAGTGAATTATTATTATCTTATTTCTGTTGTACAGGAACCTGTGAAGAAAAACCCTCCAGATAATGGACATTTTAATTAGGTTAAATCAGAGAGGAACCTAAGCTGCTACTTCACCCAGCACAGTTTAGGAAGCACCGGTTTAGTAGTGAAACTATAGATGAATGGAACAACTGACGAGTTGAAAGTTATTTTAGATTGGAATTGAATGAAATACATAACAATAGTCTCCTCAAGAAAGTTTCCTTGTTGCTGTTCAGGGGCTCTTGATCTATGGAATTGGATCTGTGCTCCAGTTCCCTGAATTAAGCCTGAATACCTTTCACATCTCCCCACAGGTGCTGTATAATCCTACGGGTTTAGCGCTTCCCCTTGATTATAATAATAATAACATAACAATAGTACTTTATTTCTTCGAGCATATAAATAATGTAGTTACATGGGTATATATACACGAGTAAGACAGGCACAATAAAGCTGCAATTTATGCAATGCATTTTGAGTCTTGTGTGTTATTTATTTAGGCAAGCTGCATATAAAGATACATGTATTACAATACATTTTGAGTAATTTTCATTCAAGACCGAATAAAAAAAATTGCATGTAATTCTAAATATAAAAAAAATGACATTTTATGATAACCTAGGTTTAGCTATCAAAACTTTGGGGGCCCAGTCCCTGGACCCATTATGTACCTCTGTAATCTGTAAATACCTTTGTAACTTGTCATGATTGTCACCAGATCTACCTGGAGTTCATTACCTTTGTAACTTGCTCAGCTATCAAAACTTAGGGGTCCAGTCCCTGGACCCATTGTGTACCTCTGTAATCTTTTGACTACCACCCACAGGATGGGCATGGGGTGCATAATAAAGATATTAAACTAACTAACTTAACCTAAGATATATCCATCATAACCAGATAAAAAAAAAATTTGTTGGGTACCACTCAAGGAAGTTCCTTGATGGCAGTGAAGAGCTCTTGATCCAAGAAACTGAATCTGTCCTTCTTTTTCCCTGGATCAAACCTGATTGCCTCCTAGTCTCTCAAGTGCTACATGTCTTGTATGGGTTTAGTGCTCTCCCATAACACAAAAATAATAATGTGTGTTGAGTGCCTAATCAGGGAGGAGCTCAGGAAAATTAACTTGCAAGCACCTCAGAGCATTCTAGAGCAAGATCTTAATCTTCTGTAAACGTTCCATTCTGTGACCACGTATACAGTAGGACCCCCATAGCCGCAGGGGATACGTTTGAAGACCTACCGCGGATACCCGAAACCTCAGATAGTAGCGAGCCCTATGTATGTCGTTTTTCGTTTACATACATACCTATGATAAAGTTTAATAAATTATGCACAATATGTCGAGAATTAGTACTTTTTCACTAATGAGAAGCACTTCATGGCTTTTCTTAGGCTTTTAAGAACTGCCAGCATCACTACTTTTGCACTTTGGGCCATTATTAAGCAAAATAAAGGGTTATTTTTGGCCCATGGTAAACAGCAGATAACTGACACCGCATAAACCGCACTGCATTTCAGTGCTGTATGACCCCGGTGGTTTAGTGTTTAGTTTTCATTGTAATAATAATGTGTTCATATATGCTAGGCCCTTGTGAGATTACTAGCAATATCATTATTCATTTGTGACAAACTGTTTTACATCATATCACAGTTAAGGTTTTGTTGTCTTTCCTCTATTGCTACCCTCGTTGTGGGAAGATTACTTGCATGCCTTTGTACTGGATGTGATAAGACTTGCTGGGCACATCTCATGGAGGTGTGTCCAGTACTGCTATGAGAACTGTCAAGTCATACTGATGGCCCAAAGGCCCCAAACAAAAATAATAAAGCGAACAAATAATGCTGATCCGCGAGGCCTGGTCATGGAACGGGCTGCCGGGGTCTTGACTCCCGAAACATCCTCCAGGTATACCTCCAGGTATCAAGCCCCCTAGTACCTTCCAACCAGATTCTCCAAGGAGCCCCTGCTGTATACTGTTTCTGGAACCATCCCTATTTGTTTGAATGTCCCATTTATCACTGTGCTGCATTTATCATCCTTTCAGATGCCTCTCTTCAATACCCTGACATACTAACAGCATTTTCTACCTTCCTCTGATAGGCCCACTCTATGATTTCTTGACAGATTCACTACATTACTTATGACCCCTCCCTTTTGCAAGTATTCTTCCTTAACACTTGTGCTGTGTAGCACTGCATGACCCCTATGGGGTTAGTGCTTTCCATGACTAATAATAAATAAGAAGTATATATATTACGTACTTCTGCTGATAATATTTAATACAGTGGAACCTCAAATATCGAACTTTCTTCGGTCCAGAAGGCTGTTCGAGTGCCACTACCGAACGAATTTATTCCCATCAGGAATAATGTAAATTAGATTAGTCCATTTAAGACCCTCAAAAATACATTTATAAAAGCACTTACAAAAATACACTTACATAATTGGTTGAGTTGGGAGCAGTTCGATTTTTGAGGTTCCACTGTACTGTAATACAGAAGTAATTACTGTTATATATGATATTTTGTATCTATTTGGCTCTTGTTTAATTTCAGGTAAACCAATAATGACTTCACTTGATGAACCTCTGCTTGGAGGCCATTGGGGTTTGCTGAGCTACCATATGACCAATAGTAAGTTAAGTGTGACATATCTTTTTTTTGTACATTCTTATTTGTAAATCCTTGATTTAATGGACTAATACGAGGTTCTGTGAAGTTGAGTAGCTGGTAAGCGTGATTGTGGTGGATAGAGATGAAACTTTTGCCATGATCATAACCATAATGGATAATTTGGTATCCATTAAATTTAGTCCATTGTTTCTTAATCATTTGATCCAGTGGATTTCATTCTGTATATCAGAAGTTCTTTAAATTGAGGGCTTACTGTATGTAGTACTGCGCACACACTGAAGGACCAAGGTTTGATCCTCAGCATGTTTTGAAATATTGGATACATTTCCTTACACCTGCTGCTCCTGTTCACTTAGCTTAAGTAGGTACCTGGCTGTTAGGTAACTGGTGTGGGTTGCTCCCTGGGGGAGAAGGTAAAGGACCCTAATAGAGGTAAGGCAAACAGTCCTTGACAACATTTAACTTTATTGGGTTATCCTGAGTTACTAACATTCCCACTCCTCCAGGGAGTTTCCTTGATTCAGGTTAGGGGTTCTAAACTGCATAATCCTCTGGGTTTAGTGCTCCCCCTTGATTATAATAATAATGATAGGGGTTCTAAATCCAAGGAATTGGATTTGATGTCTCCTTCCTTAGATTGAGCTTGAGCACTTTCCTTTCTCCCCAGGTACTGTATGACCCATACAGGTTTAGTTCTACCCCATGCATGTAATAATAACCCTTTTGGTTAATCCAAACAAAATTTACTTCACCTGTGACCTCTTCCCATTTTTTCTCCCAGTGTCTTTCCAGTATCTCAGCCTCTTAAGATTCTTCTGACTTTTTTTTCCCACTTGAGTGGGAACACTCGTGACCCTGACAAGTTTTGCATCTTTCCATGAATATGATATTGTAACACTACAGTGTAATAACAGTTTCTTTTTTCAACACACTGGCCATATCCCACTGAGGCAGGATGACCTAAAAAGAAAAACAAAAGTTGTAATAGTATCTTGACCCATATCTGATCTAAAGGGGGGCAGAGGCTTAGACGTACAATAAATTGCTGTCATATCATTATTTTTCAGTCTTCTTAAGGCCAAATAAAGATTTATATTAATCGCCTCCAATTGTATGTCTCCTGTATGGCCCTTAGGGGTTTAGTGTCTTCCCCATGACTATAATAATGCAGTAATAAAAATTGTACAAGAGGTTTTTGTACGAGGCCTGGTCTCAGACCGGGCCGCAGGGGCGTTGACCCCTGAAACCCTCTCCAGATAAACATATTTTAGTCTGTTGAAGAAAGTCAGACATTTTTTTTATACCTAATTTTAATAATTTTCAACAGGTAAAGTTGAGATAGTAGAGCTGGTGTCTGCCTTAGTACACGTGAACATCCATGGGTTTGTAGCACAAGTGAGTGCTAAATTAAGGTACCACAACCCTGGTGACAGCACTCTCATGGTAAGGACTGCATACTCCTTAAGTTAAATACTATAAACCAGTAACTTTGTAAGTGCACTATATTACTTAAATACTACATTTATCTTTAAAAGTTCACAAATATCCATACATGTACTTGTCAGAACCCAGCTCATGATTATTAGACTGAGGATCGAACCTCCACTTATTGCACTAAATAGCCCATATGGGTTTAGTGTTTACTTGAACTGATGAACTATTTAATGTCAGAGGGTGTAATGTATCTTGGCCAGATAACTTTATACCATAACATATATGAAGCCTCATCCCAACTGTCTTGATGCCAGTAAATGATTTTTTATCTAAGGAAATGGAGTTACCCTATCTTTCATTGAATCAAACCTTGTTACCTCCCGTTCCCCAGAGTCTGTATGACCCATCTGAGTTTAGCCTTCCCCAAGATAATGATAGTCTACAATGCCCAGATACTAGACAATGAGCTGGGTGATCTTATTTTTTAATGGCTGGCCCAGAGAGTTTTTAAAAAACCAGTTGGTCTGTCATTTTAATTGTATTGTTTTGTGGACATTTTTCAAAAATAGGTGAGGATTAGTTCAATTAGTTTATGCATCTGCCTTGGGATTAAATTTCACATGTAGTGTACATATATGATGCTGAGGAAAGTACCAGTACTGAAATATATTCTTTCACTGGTTTTAATAACTTTAAAAAAAAAATTTCAACACATCGGCTGTCTCCTGCCAAGGCAGGGTGACCCAAAAAAGAAGGAAACACTTTCACCATCATTCACGCATAATCACTGTCTTTGAAGAGGTGCTCAGATATGACAGTTTAGACACCACTCCAAACAGTCAGTATCCCAAACCCCTCCTTTAAAGTGTAGGCATTATACTTCAAACCTCAAGTCCGGCTAACCGGTTTCCCTGAATCCCTTCACAAAATATTACCCTGTTCACACTCCAACAGCTCGTCAGGTCCCAAAAGCCATTCATCTCCATTCACTTAAATTGTAAATTTAACTCGTACATTTTTTCCAACATTCATGGTTACTTTGAGCACTCACCCCTCCAGGAAGGAGACTTCATGCAACAAGGGCTCTTGATTTTCCATTTGCCCTGGTTTCTGTGACTGTATTCCCCGTGTGTTGCTGTGTACCTGTTCTTAATTCCTATCCTCCCTAGAACCTAACACATGGAGCGCCCACCATTGCTTTTTGGTAATATATCCTCACTATTGGCTAGTGGGAGTCGCGAGCTGGTATGCTATTTCGTTGGGGTAATTATAGTTGACAATATGGTGTATCTTATCTTGACTCACTTGTTTCCCACGACCGCCTGTCCCGCATAGTCCAGTTTATATGCTTTCAAGCCTGCGTATAATTCCCCGACTACCTTGACCCAAATCTCCAGCGTCACCTTACTGTCCTCCGTCGCTCTGCTCAGCACCTCTAGCTTCACATTACTGTCTCCCAGGACAGTGCCATCCTGCTTCACTATACTGGCTCTCCAGACACACCTCTAGCTCACATTACAGCCTCCAGGACAGCACCTCCAGCTTCACCATTACGTCTCTTCCAGACAGCACTATCAGCCCCACATTTACTGACACCATGACATACCTCCTCCAGCCTTAAAGTCTGACTAACATGGCCAGGCATCAAGGGCAGTACCATTCAGCCAGACTTTTGATGTTCCTCATCTTTAGTAGAAAGCTTCCCATACCAGTTGTCTAAGAAAGAGCAGTTTTGGGGTGTTATCTCTCTTTCAATGCCCTTGTGAATTTATTTGAGTCCACAGATTTATCTCAGTTGGGCATACCCAAAAACACTCCCTGTTTTAATACTGGCTTGGTAGCTAGTAGAGTATAGTAGTGGTAATCAGTAATAGAAGGGTATAATCGTCATACAATGTGGTGAGATGGGTTGGTTAAGAAGGATCCTTTGATATGCCTCTAACATGAGGTTCTACAGGTCCTCCCTAACCCTAACCCATCTCGCCACATAGTTTCCACTACTACTACACTACTACTACTACCACCACCACCACCACCACCACCACCACCACTACTACCTTTACCCACGCACCCTCCACCTGACTCCTGCCACTTAGTATTCTCTAGATTAGGACTGAAGAAGCTACTCCATGGGAAAACAATTGCCTTAATAAATTCCTGAACTGGAGACATAAGTGTCGTTGTTTGCGGCATTTTGTATCTTTTACAGGCTGCCCCCTTTACAGCACTTCTCTTTACCAGCATTTCTGGCTATAATGCAGTAGTTTTAAAGGTACGATCAGTCCTTCAATTTAAGTCAGACTTTCTAACAATACATTATTATTCACTTACAATAAACTAAGGATGAAAGTATTTAAGGTAATGAGAGTGGACTGTATGGTATGCATTTTTATTTTAGCGAGGCCTAACGCTATTGATCACTTAATATATATTAGTGTACTAACCAAGTATCACTTTCATATGCATTGACAGTGAGGAGAAAGGTTATGGTTTCACAAATTTTCGGCAATTTTTGCTTAACAGCATATGCTCGAATTGTAACCTCTATAATAATAGGGGCACTCCTCTGTACACAACGCTTTAGACATCTAAATTGAGAAGTGCCATAAACTGCACATTTTATCTGTATAAAAGGTGGACCCCCGTTAACGATATTTTTTCACACCAGCAAGTATGTTCAGGTGCAAGTACTGACCGGAAATTTGATCCCATAGAGGAATACTGGAAGTAGATTAGTCCATGTCTAAACCCCCAAATCATACAACTACAAAACGCACTTACATAAGATTACACATACATAAGTGGGTCGCATCGAGGTGATCGTCATGCGGGTCCACTGTATACACTTGTTTTACATTGTACCATTAGTCAGAATAATGCTAAAAAACAGCAGAAAAAGTACTTAAGTACACATATTGTACACTAAGATACTATACTGTACAACAAGTATGCACTTGCCTTTTTTTTAACATCATCGGCTGTTTCCCACTGAGCAGTGTGACCCAAAATAAAGAAAAATACTTTTCATATCATTCAACGCTCTTTCCAACCAGCAATCATAGACATAATCATTGTCCTTTGCAGAGCACTCAATACGACAGTTGAAAAAGTCCTCCAAAGCTGCATTATCCCAACAATACACTTTTTTTTTCAACAAGTCGCCCGTCTCCCACCCCCGAGGCAGGGTGAACCCAAAAAAGAAAAGGAAAAGACCCCAAAAAGAAATTTCGTTTCAATCATCATCTGCACTTTCCACCTCACTCAATACAGAATCGACGGTTCTTGCAGAGGCACCCAGATTCCAACATTTAAGCAGATATAAAGGTTATATAACACTATATCCTTTTATACAAGTAAATGGCTTCTAAATGGGAAGTACAATGCACTGCACTTTAAAGGAGTATGGGATAGTTGGCAGTTTTGGGGGATATTGTTGTTATCTTTATATGGGTATCTTCTAAACTGATTATCTGAACACCTCTGCTAAAATCAGTAGATAAGGCGTGAGTGTGGTGAAATGTTAAATGAGAAAGAAAGTATTGCTCTTTTTGGGGATTGTCTTTCTTTTTGGGTCACCCTGCCTCGGTGGGAGAACGGCCGACTTGTGGAAAAAAAAAAATAATTATAACATATCCCTCCAAATTGCCAATACCCAACCCCTCCTTTAAAGTGAAGGCACTTGTACGTCCCATTCTCCAGTATACAAGTACCAGCTATACAAACCTAACCGTTTCCGCTGAATCCCTTCACAAATATTACCCGGCTCACACTCCACAGCTCTGGAAGCCATGCCCATCAGCAATTTACTCCACCATTACATAATCTAACAAACTACTTTGTCATGATGTGCAATATCATACCTTTTATACTGAGCCTCTTTTCATAAAATATATATTTAACTAAAAACCATACCTTTTTTCTACCCAGAGCTCTATTAAAAGCTCCCCTTTTCATTTACCCTGGCACCCCTGCTGTACCGCACCAGCCAAATTCTACATGCTACTCTCTCCACAACATTTAACCCACGAAGCATTGAGATCCTCACTACAAGTTTTCTCGCACTGGTTCAAACGCCCCATGCACTCACATCAACATTTCCCAAAATCTCTCTCTCTCATCTTCACTTCTTTCCTCGCCAGAGGTCATACAGGCTTTACTATACCCACTTTAAACACCATCCAACCCTTATTTTCCTCCACAAAGCCGGAAATTTAGACATTTATTTATATTTCCTCTTTTCCTGCGCATAACTTATCCACAACATTATTGGTATGTCACATTTTTTAGCGCTAACTCTATTTTGAAATACCCCTGACTAAGCCCATTTATTTCTCGCCCAGTTTCGAGTTGTTGGGGGGGGGGGGTAGGGTGGGGGCCACTGGAAACTATCGGAGCTCTCCCACCCCCCTTCTCAGCTTTGTTTTCAATTAAACCAGACAAGCCAGCGGCGTCTCTTCATAACATCCACAATCTTCTCTGTCCTTTATCATTTGCACACATCCAACACATCAGACTTCCCACTTGCGGACGCTAGCTTCTTATTTAGTAGCTATAACGGAAAGAGGTTACTAGCCCATTGTTCCTCGTGCATTGTAGTGACCATGTGATACAACATGCATGGCTGATATGGAGGGATAAGATCTTATGTCACTTCCCATGGATATGAGAGGAAAAAGCAATAGGACAACAGGCAAGGAACTATTTAAGATAAAAATCAAAGTAAACTCAGATAGTATGGAGATTTGTCCTACAACATGTACATTATGTAGTGTGGACCCAAAGTGTATTAGATGTAAGCAAGAATACCTAAATCTTGCATATTTATGAGACAGAAAAAAAGACACTAGCACTCCCTAACACCATCTTTTTTAAAGCAATACAAGCACAACCTCTTTTTGACACGCGCTGGTAGACTCGAGTAGGTAACCATTCCGAATGGTTGCTGTCTACCAACCTAATACCTGGAAAAAAAAACTACTATATCAAAGCCCTAAATCTTACTTTCCTTTCAACACTTGGCCGTATCTCCACCAAGGCAGGGTGGCACAAAAAGGAAAAAAACGAAAGTACTCCTTTTACAATTAGTAATATCAACGAAAAGGGATTAACTAGCCCTGCTTCAGGCATTTTTAGTCACCTCTTTACAACCCATGCTTACGAGGAAAAATCTGTTCCACTCCCCCCATGGATTAAGAGGAAATAAACAAGAACAAGAAACTAAAAGAAATGAAGAAAACCAAGGGTGGTATAAGGTATATGCTTGTACAGGTAATTAGAGTAGACCTAAGTGTAAGTAGAAGTAGCAAGACGTACCTGATATCTATGCATTGTTATAGACAGAAAAAAAGACACCAGCAAGAGCCTACCATCGTGGAAAAACAGATTACATAGAGATTCCGTTTACACCTGCACAGTGTCAGATGGTATACCTCCCTGGGTGTGTTGCTGTCAACAACTCCTACTACCTGTAAAAACCTCTATATCAAGCCTTAATGTCAGTGTATAAATAAGATTGGGCTAAGACTTATGTCACTTGATAACTTGTAACTATCACATTTTATTTTGTGTTAGGTTATAGCTTACGCCAATTGTACTCTTTTCATGTTCAATTAATTAATTCCATTAAAGACAAACATTAAAAATTATAGAAAGGCTCCCTGGATGCAATGATGGGAAGTATGTTGTTGTAACGAGTAGGCATACTGATGATCATGAGAAGGACACTATCGGGCGGCATTACGAAATTGCACAACGCATTATCGCGCATCCTGATCGTCTAAATGGACACAATTATGAGGATACAAGTCGCAAAAGGTGGTTAGTTTCAGATTTTGAGAAGTCACTGCACTTCCTTTAGCCTGTTTTATGTGATATTTATTTAATGGATGATGACTTGGTATTGGAGGCCAGTGGTGGCGAATTTTTTGAGTGGTAAGGGACTGAGTTACCAACAGGTCTGTTATGATGGGCTGTATTGTGTGAGTTGGAACGAGGTATTTAGGATTTCATTGCTGCATTTGCGTGTGAACAAGGTCAAACTTACGAAAGGAGCAAGC